TCCCTTGCAGCCTTGTAATCTTTCAACCTTTTTGATATTAATGAAATGGCGTTTTCTGTTTCTTCTTCAAGCGCAGCTTGAGAGAGCTTCTTCTCTGTTCCTCGTGTGTGCGATTCACATAAGACTGAGAGCCCTTGTTGTATCAGAGATCATTCCATCATCTCTGTGGTACCTTCGATCCATTTCGTTTAGATTGCTTATGGAATCAAGTTGTCTTGTTCGATTGTTGTTTGTGGAATCAATCAGCAGCTATTCACCCTCATTTCTGATATAAGATTAGATCTCCCAAGTCTTATAAACACAAGATATTCAAAGTTAAATAGCTTGAACGATACGGAAGTGGTGAGTGATGGTTGAGATGGAATGATCCAAGGCTTGTGATGGAACCTAGGCTCACGGTTTTAGAATCAGAAACACAAGGGCTCTTCCTCGCAAGTGTTTAAGACTCACACAAATTCAACTAGCTAAGGAAAATCCACACAAAGCCAATAGAAATCGAAAACTAATAACAAGAACAAAGATGACTCCAAGTCAATTTGCTGAATAATACGAACTTTATTAATTCAATGGTGACTAAAACAAAGGTGGAACAGAGCTTATATAATGCTCAAAGGGGAAACAAAGATAGGAAACTTAATCAAAAGCAATTAAAGCAAAAGTAGCCGTTTTATCAAATAAGTGAAATGAGGATCCCTTGGAGGTTCTGATTGATGTCTTGGGTTCCAGATATGGCATGTCGAGGTGGTCTCTTTCTGAAGGTATAATACGTGGCCATTAAGGCTTGTGATCGTTGGGAATCAGTCTTGAGAAGATATGGTGTATATTGGGAAAGTGTGATGAAGCTTGATATCTTGGGTTTCCTTTTGGGTGTGCGGTTTGAAATGAGTTTGAAATCTTCTAAGAGGTTTAGAGGGTCTGTTTTTAGATGGAGAATTGATGGGAAAAATTTCGAGTCATAGGTTTCGATAAATGATCCAAAATGTGACCGTTTGGAAAAATGAGGGAATGAAAGGTAAAAAGGCGCGGCAATTGGGATTTGAAGTGTGGTCTCGGTTTTCTGGATAAAAATAAGTCTAGGATCGGTTGGTTTAGTTATAGAATGGTTTATGGAGTAAGTTTCCTTATATGACTCTATAGGCTCGGTTTTTGGGTAATCGCCTTTCTTTGAGTTTTGTTGGATCTTTTGTCACCAAGAGCTTTTCTTGGGTGATGTCCACATCAATTTCTATCTTCACTCATCATCCATTTGATTCATCAGACCTGAAACTGTGGAATAAGAGAGGTGGAATCCAATCTTTAGAAAAAAAGAGCAAAACAAGACAAAAAATTTACAGACAAGCTTTTAAGACTTTAAAATGGATAAAAACTTTAAAATGGATGAAGAATTTAAAGCATGTTTGGCAAAAAATAATCTTTAAAAATTGTAGAATTCTCTAAGCCTTAAAAAACTATTGGCAAGCACCCCTAAAAGAGATGATTGGTAATTTTGATTTTAAATCAGTAGTCGACAGTTTTGTGCCCCATTGTTGAAGAGAGGAAGTGGTGATCATGGGAGCATAATCTGAGGAAGTTGAAAATATTTTTTTTCGTGAATTAGTTTATTATAAAAAAGGTTAACTAGGTTAAGAAAAAAAGAACGTGAGAAATTTAGAAAAAGACACATGTTCAAATTGATGAGGTGTTGTCGTGAGAGTAAAAAGATGAGTTTCTCTCTAACTTTTCTTTTATAAGAATAGAGATTAAGAGGTGGAAAGCCAATTTAGAATCTGATTTATTTTTTTGTTCCCGCTCTTCCATTTTACCCGTTTTANAAAAAACAAAAAAAAAGGTAGGAATGTTAAATAGGGTTTCCCAGCCCAGCCCTAAATGAAATTAACCCTGGCTCCGAATGAGCCCTAACATA